TGCAATGAAATTACTTTTCAGTCCAACAATTAAGTAAACTGTGTGTGTGTGTGTGTGTGTGTGTGTGTGTGTGTGTGTGTGTGTGTGTGTGTGTGTGTGTGTGTAGATACTGCTGATGGCTTCAGTTGAAAGTTGTTCTTAGTAAATCAAAGGCCCAATCCCAATGTCCCCCCTAAACCATAAGCCCTGAACCCTCACAGATTTTACTGACCTCACTTGGAAAGTGATTGAGTTTAAGAGGCTGCAAGGGCTCAAAATGCTGTAAACGGGAACGGGACAGCACTTTGCCACTTTATCACGTTACCTTGACGACACTGAAACACGTTGCACACTTTCTATTTTATGTTTTTGCCTTATTTTTAAGTCCTGCAGGCTCTCGCCCTACAGAGTGGAGGACAGGTCGCCTAAATGTCAATATATATTTGTAATTAATCAATACACTATTGTTGGTCAATCATTAAGCAAAAACTAAAATAAATTCAGTGTGAAATAAGGTGATTGCATTCCTCTGACTTCATGTGTTCTATGCACCATCTTAAGAAAACTTTCAACAATTTTAACATCAGCGTAGGTGTCATACCACTATGAACTGTGGGCAATTCCCTCAGCCAAAGTCTGCAGAAACGCAGACTTACGAAAAGGGTCTATAAAGGGCTCAAAATGTCGGCGAGAGAGCCCTCGCGCGCATGACGATTTGCCCTCACGGACTTCCCGGGACCGCGCCTCAAAGTCTGTGAGTCTGTGAGATTGGGATTGAGCCAAAGTGTAAACGCTATTATTCACTAACTGGAACAAAGTAATTGTGGGAACTCAAAGCTATCAAGAAGTGGAAACAAACTGGTTCATCTGTCACCAATCAGCAGCACACAAACAACAATAACCATGGTAACAGCTGTACACCATCCAGCTGTGACGTAGAGACAGAGAGAGACATCTGGAAGTAGTAATACCTGTTCTGACCACAAGGAGGCAGCAAACGACAGACACTCACACCTATGACCTTCCACATCCACAAACACGGCAGTACTGGATCGTTACGCCAGGTCATATAACCTTCCACTGCATGAAAAGTAGGATTTTCGGCAGTTTATGGCATGTTAAATTGCCGTAGAAGTTCAGGTTTACATCTGCACATGGGAATTTTGGGCTAGCACCAAAAACTGTCAGGAACTTCCAGGATCTGAAGTGGATTTTGTTTGTCAGTGTTCCCCCATAACCCAGCTTCCACTTGGTAAGGTTATTTTTTATTTTTTATTTTTATTTTGTTTTGACTTTTTGTTTTTAATTTCAGTTTAGTTTTAAATAGTTTTCAATGTGGGTTTGCTAGTTTAGTTTAGTTTTTATTTTTTGAAAATGCTTAGTTTTAGTTTAGTTTTAGTGTTAGTTTTACTCTTTGTCACTGCAGGATGCCAAGCTCAGTTCAGTTTGGTTCAGTCCAGTTTGGTTTTTTTAACAAACATTAAAAAACAAGTAAAATCATTACAAATAATGCAGATTTGTGAAAAGGGACACCTTGTACGTTGGGGCCCAAACACTAATCAAATATAAATATTTGAAGTACTGACACATTATCTAAATAAATACTACAAATAAATGAAACACATGCAATCTACAGTACAATGAAGCACAAAGAGAAAGGTTGGCTGAGATATCAGTGAGACAATAAAACACACACTAGCTGACATGCAGTAAATATAATGACCAGCACACACGTTAACGACCATGTTTTTTCACATCTAGTTTTCATTATTTCGTTCGTCTTCGTTAATGATGCTAACTTTGATCTAGGGGAGGCTTTCATATGTAAATGGTAACTGCTCAGAAATGACACCTCCAGAAATCAGGTAACTAAACAGAATGAAGGAAAGGTCAAAAGTCATGTCACTGCTGTCATGGTAACGCAACGTTACACCGTGAGCCATGTAACTATCGGCTGTTTCATATTTTCTGTTTATTTAACGGCCACGTATGAGCAAGAAAACAGCTGAAACTAACAGTACAGATGATCTATGACTGCCTGTACAGCCTGGGGAGGTAATTGGGCGGTGGAAGGAACACTTTGAGGAACTCCTAAATCCGACTGACACGCCCTCTTTAGTAGAGGCAGAGCTCGAGGCTGATGGGGGATTCTTGTCAGTTTCCCTGGATGAAAGTCACTGAGGTAGTCAAACAACTCCACAGTGACAAAACCCCGGGGATGGATGAGATCTGCCAAGAAATGCTAAAAGCTTTGGGTGTGGAGGGGCTGTCTTGGATGACACGTCTCTTTAACATTGCGTGGAAGTTGGGTACAGTGCCCAAGGAGTGGCAGACTGGGGTGGTGGTTCCCCTGTTCAAAAAGGGGGACCAGAGAGTGTGTGCCAATTACAGGGGTATCACACTTCTCAGCCTCCCCGGTAAAGTCAACTCCAAGGTGCTGGAACGGAGGGTTCGGCCGATTGTCGAACCTCAGATCAAAGAGGAACAATGCGATTTTCGTCCCGGTCGTGGAACAACTGACCAGCTCTTTACTCTCACCTTACTCTCACTCTTACTGAGGATCCTGGAGTGGGCTTGGGAGTATGCCCATCCAGTCTACATATGCTTTGTATGTCGGGAGAAGGTGTATGACCGGGTCCCCTGGGAGATAGTGTGGGAGGTGCTGCGGGAGTATGGGGTGAGGGGGGCCCTTCACAGGGCTATCCAATCCCAGTACATCCAAAGCGAGAGCTGTGTCCGAGTACTCGGCAGTAAGTCGGACTCTTTCCAGGTGAGGGTTGAACTTCGCCAGGGCTGTGCTTTGTCACCTATCCTGTTTGTGATATTCATGGACAGGATATCAAGGCGTAGTCGTGGCGAGGAGGGGCTGCTCGTCACTGCTTTTCGCGGATGATGAGGTCCTGATGGCTTCATCGGTCCATGACCTTCAGCTCTCACTGGATCTGTTCGCAGCCGAGTGTGAAGCAGTTTGATGAGGATTAGCACCTCTAAATCTGTGGCCATGGTTCTCAGCAGGAAACCGGTGGAGTGCCAACTCCAGGTAGGGAATGAGTCCTTACCCCAAGTGAAGGAGTTCAAGTACCTCGGGGTCTTGTTCACAAGTGAGGGGAGACTGGAGCAGGAGATTGGCCAGAGAATTGGAGCAGCGGGGGCGGTATTGCACTCGCTTTACCGCACCGTTGTGGCGAAAAGAGAGCTGAGCCGTAAGGAAAAGCTCTCGATCTACCGGTCGATTTTCGCTCCTACCCTCACCTATGGTCATGAAGCCTGGTCATGACCGAAAGAACGAGATTGCGGGTACAAGCGGCCGAAAAAAAGAATTCTAAAGTAGTGTATTGCGCACTTTTAATTTAAATGTACTGCTATATACACAAAAGTGCAATAACATGTGGTTTGCAAACAAATATAAAACCAAAGCTATTTGCCACTGCCAGGGCATTACCTTTTATAGCTTGTTAAAACAAGTTACCATCAGAGTCCAGAGCCTCAATCATAACATCATAACAGGCACCTTCTGAGCAACAGGTTAACATATCTGAATGTATTTTCTTTGTTTTTTTTTTCTGAACAGGTATCAGCAGAAAAAAATTTCTTTTATCAGGGAGCAGCATGAACAGTCTATGTTTAAGTGTCCCTGTTAGAGTGAGGTGAAGTGGTCGAGAACAAGGTGTAGCAACAAGCGGGCGCATTCCCGTGAAACTGTCGCAGTTGTGCTCGCCGCACGCACATGGCCGCCCAGTGCCGAAGTTGAATTGTCTTGAACTTTTTGTATGCGCAGCACAAATCATTGGAAGAGAGACTAATCCTTGCTGTTTGTGAGGTTCCAGAATCTATTACTGTTTACTAAATGATTATCAACAGGAGGGAATTCGCATGGCAGAGCATCTCTGCAAAACCAGATGAAGGCCTATCAGGTAAAGTTATGTAGCCTATAATCTTAAATTAAGCCATCGCTCATAATTTTTACTTAGTTTGGTTGCTAAGGTCTGTTGTGCAACGGCTGGATGCACTTAAGGGATTTCTTGAGTCAGCCCCTCTAGGATTTTGCGATCGCAACAACACAAATTCAACAAATCCCTGTGAATTCAGCGTGACTTGTAATTTTGATCAATCACTGCAACCTTTCCGGTAATTTGTCCTATTATTGCATTGTTTCCTCGCAAAACAATGTCATACGTCAGCTTGTCATTTCGTTGTTTACAAGGCGCTGCATACTCTTAACCTAAGGTTTTTTTTGCAACCGGCTCCAGCACTTTAAGAGCTGAGGACAGATGATTGTGTGGTTGACTAGCAACAACAACAAAAAACGCCTCACACTACTTTTTTGTTTAATTGTAGCCTTTAATTGAGACCTTGGGCTGGTCTCATCTGACATGGTTTAGTCAGGTCTGACCTAGCCTAACCTCAATAGGCTTGAAGAGCAGTGAGGATGTAAGTACAGATAGCTCATGATCACATCATCTGACAGAATAAGTGTAGAAGCAGAATCATTGGACCCGTGAGTTTGGAGTTCTGATCAATGGAAATGGACTCTTGTCTTGAGGCCGGTTACCAGTTTTCGCAGTTTGTATTTGCCTTGGTTTGTTTGCACTGCAGCCTGGTTTGTTACCTGCCTTGTGTGAATAATATTTTAATAGTGCCAAAAGCTTCCAAAAATCTATCATACCTATCACACTTGGCCACCTGCTTCACACAGCGATTGGTCAGGTGTTTGGAGGTGGTGCCACCGATATCTTATGTTATTCCAGACTGCGGTGAAAAAGTGTCAATAAATTTCTTTCTCAAAACATCAGATTGGTCAGATTAAAGGTGTTGTATAGACAAACCCACCTACTGTTAGGACAGAGAATACAGGTGTATCAGCTTTAGTGCAGCTCTGGATGGATCCAGCCTTTTCCCCTTGTGTTTCATACTGCACATGAATGTCTGCATTCTAAACACTTTTTTGTAGCTGTGTACCACCAGGAGAATTCTGTTTTCATTGTGTTCACTAAAATTCCATATACAGAGTAAACAGTCACCTGTAGAATGTGTGCACTGTCTGAGTCTGTCCAGGCCTGTTGACAGTCTTCTTTTGCTGCTGGGACCGTTTCTGCTTCTGTAGAGGACAGAGAACATTAGTCAGTCATTACAAGGCATCCTCAGGTTAGTGTTCAGTGTTAAATTTACAAAATGACAAGCATTTCTGAGTTCCTGTATTATTATATCAGACATTAGGAGACGAGAATACATCAAGGAACTGAACACGGGTCAAAGGGATGAAAAGTGAGTAAAGTACCAATAAAATACTTTTTTGTCTTCTTTGCTAGAAAGGCTACACATCTCGGCAAAGGAGAAGTGCTCACTGACACAGATTTTGACAGATTTGTGAACAATATTTGAGAGAAATAGGCCTTTTGTGTACATAGAGAAAGTCTTAGATCTTTGAGTTCAGCTCATGATGAATGGAGGCAAAAACAAAAGTGTTGGGTTTATAATTTTGTTCAGTGTATCTGTGAGATGTTAAAAGCTAATGGGACAATGCTGAATGGAATCAATAAAAAGTCTTTAAAAAATGTACAGGTGAAGTTGAAACATGATTTCTGGGCTACGACTAATACAGGTATATCTAATCTCATCAAATAGTACATCCCAACACAAAATAACAATATGTGGAGCTAATTAGCAGAATTTCAGGAGCGGGACCACACATCAACAACGTCATCGCCAGCATTTCCATAAATACGCACACATCCCAGCTCCTCTTCTTCACTCTTGCATTCTGCACCCGAACTGAGACCAAGCAACAGCTTGTTGAGCCCGCTACGCTAACGCTGTTATCCCATACCATGAATCATCACAAGCTACTCCACCCATCCACTTACATCTTCGAGAAGTATCAGTATATCTCCATCAAACGATGAATTATTCGGACAAACTCACAACAATCATTTTCAATGTCCACGTCAGCCCTTTTTACACAATCGTAAAGCTGGCCAGGAAGTGGGTGAGTCCAGCCTTAACTCCATCTCTTCCATGGTACGCTACATCTCAACAATCGGGAACATTTCACCCGAGAATCCTCCGCCTCACAAGAACAGCTGATCAGAGCGTTACCCCGCACCAGCGAGGCCCTGCATCAAACAGTCTTCATAAACAATTTCGAAACAGACTATAGCCACTCTTTAGAAACTCTTAAAGATGAAAGAATCCTGTTTACAGAACAGACAATCCAGCAAACTATCATGCAGCAAGCTATCATGTCAGCATGGCATGTCCACAGTTCCATCAACACCAGCTCCCTTCCGGGTGACGCATCAGCGCCACTGTTAAAGGGACAGTTTAGATATTTCCTCCAGCTCAAGACAGTAAACTTCCGGACCTCCACCTCGCATCAGTGTTTACAGCAACAGCACCAGCAGCTTACATTATACAGAACAAACTACATTAAATCATCAACATACATGCCATTCAGCTCCAGCAGATAGGCCTACATCAGCCAGCCTTAGCAGGGGAACCTGGCACCGGGATGCCAGCACCCCAGCAATCTCATTCCTTTCGTGCTATCGTCCAGCCCTCAGTCGTTTCATGCTAATGTCCGGCTCCGACATACTGTTTATTTATAGCAGTAACTCGTAATACAGAGTAGAAAATTATCTGTATTAGAAACAAGGGCAAAGAATAAATTATTTTTATTTAAGAAAAATTCCACAATTAGCGCAACTGGATTAAAACTTTAGGAGGCCTATATCATGTTTGTGCACTTCTGGATTGTATGTTTTGCATCTGCATTTCCTCAGAGAAACCAAACCCGTGTTCTTGGCCCACCACCTGAGTCTCCACCTGGACTGCATGTATGATAACATACAGAGACACAGAAATGCAGTCCCCACCTTCCTAGGACCCTGAAGGATGTTGCCCTTGGAAGGAGCCCTACTACCACTTCAAGGGGTAACCACACCACGCAGACCCCACGCAGACCTCCAGGACCTCCTAGACCTTCAAGACCATTCAGACCTCCACCATGCATCTATCCCCGGTTGTAAGAGTCCAAATCCACCGCGTCACCAACGTCACAACCCAAAGCCCACTTCACAGCCAACACAACACTGGCCTCTGATACCCAGCCAGAGTGCCCCCCGGTCTGGAGGTCCTATACCCCCCCCATCCCAACGGCAGAACCAAGACTACAGGAGCAGCAGCCTATTGGACTAAACTATGCTGTAGCGGTGAGAAGGGCCACAGCCCCGCCCCCCTCTGGTGAACTTGTCACGCCCAGCTCCTGCAGTTAGGTTATGTGTTCAGTTTGTCTGTTACCACTTCCTGTTGTACTTCAGTGAGTCATCTTGTGTCTCGTTTCAGGTCTTCGTCTGCCTTCCCTCCTGTGTGATTACCAGTCAGCACCCTAATTTGCTCCACCTGTGTAGCCTTTGTCTTTTGTGAACCACCTTGAGTCGTGCCCTGTAAGTCCATTACCCCAGTGTGAGCCTTGATAGATATAGCTACATGGTGGAAGAGCAGAGACCTCTTAGAGACATCACAATAAGTAATAGTTTAGCATGTTGTATATCATTTTAAATGAATAGTAATACAAGGACAATTCTTAACAGTATCTCACACATGATACACTCTAAAATGTCACTCAAAGTTTAATATTTTATTCATTTATTTACAACACTCTTCCTCTTTTTACACTTTTTTCTTTTCATTTGTTACTATTATTATTTTTTAATATCTAGTTTATTATTATTACCTTTATAATTTATTTTTTTAAGATGTTTGTCTAATTTTTGAACGGATTACACTTGGAGATGAAATCGTTTACAATAACATGTTGGAAGGTCTGAGATCATCAGCTTTTGCTTTAAAGAGCAGAAATTCAGATTTTAATAGAGAGTAAAAGACTCTGACATCATAGTTTTACAGGAGACATGGTGCAGAGAAGATGTTTCCACTGGTCGTCTACGGCTACACTGAGATTATTATACCATCAACAAAAAATCCCACAATAACCCAAGGCAGAGATTCAGGAGGCCTGATTATATGGTGTAAGTCAGAACTGAACCAGTCCATCACAGTTATTAAAAAAGAAGAAGCTTATATATGGTTGAAAATTAACAAACAGATGATTTGTGCTGAGCAACATGTCTACAAGTTAACCATTATAAAACCATGGGAAATGTATTAATCTGTGGGGAAAGAGCTGACACTATGAACACACAGGGAGACAAACACTTACCTGGAAACACCTGCTTCCCCCTCCCTGAATGTCCTGCTAGAAAGAGCTTTGACAAGCTTACTAATACAAGCGGTATGCAGCTTTTACAGCTCTGCCGTACGCTGGGTCTGTACAAAGTCAACGGCAGACTATGAGGGGACTCTCTGGGTCACTAAACTTAAAGCTCAGCTCTTGGCAGTAGTGGGGTAGATTATTTCATTACAGATCTAGATCCAATGTCTCTCAGAGCTTTCACAGTCAGTCCCTTCACATCCCTCTCAGACCACAGCAAAATCACTATCTATCTGAAAAGGGCTCAGTCTAAGTCTGGAGCACCTAGTGCCTGTGAACTGTTTAACAGCACATACTCATACAGATGGACCCCAGACAGCATGGGGGCATACCAAAAGGCACTGGAAAATCAAAACATACATGATTTAACTCATTTATTTCTAACTGGAACATTTCCCCAGAATAATTCTGGTGTAAATACTGCAGTGGACAAAATCAATTCAATATTTCATCATTTGGCTTTATTGTCTAATTTGAAAGCCTCCAAACCAAAATCTCAACAAATGAACAGTAACAAATGGTTTGACACTGAATGCAAAAACCCAAGGAAAACTTTAAGAAAATTATCAAATGAAAAGCATAGGGACCCAGATAACCACAACATACGCTGTCAATATGAGGCCACTCTGAAACAATACAAGTACACCCTAAAAACTAAGAAAGAACAACACAGCAAGAAGCAGATCTGTGAAATTGAGGAATCCCTAGAGTCCAACCAATTTCTGGGAGAAATGGAACGACCTAAACAAAACCCAGCAGGGTGAATTGGCGATCCAAGATGGAAATATTTGGATTAATCACTTTAGTGAATTATACATTTATATTACAAAAAATGATGATCAGTACAAGATATTCACAAAATGGAAAACTCTGGAGGCGGTGATAAAAAAACACTAAAACCCTCTAGATTACCCTGTAACAGAACAAGAATTAACAGAAGTCATCCAGTCCCTGAAAGGAAAAAAGGCTTGTGGTACTGATGGAATCCACAAATTATCAAATATTCATACCATAAAATCAGTTTGGCTATACTAAAACTATTCAATACTATTCTAGCAACTTTTCCAGACATCTGGAACAAAGGTTTAATAACCCCAATTCATAAATGGGGAGATAAATATGATCCAAATAACTACAGAGGAATATGTGTATCCAGTAACCTGGGAAAAATATTCTGCAACATCATTAATAAACGACTTGTCAACTTTGTTGATAAACACAATATTCTGCATAAATGCCAAATTGTTTTTTTGCCAAATTGCCGCACAACAGACCATATATTTACCCTCCAGACTCTAATTGATCAAGAATTAAACATTATGCCTGTTTTGTTGTTCCAAAAAGCCTTTGACTCCATCTGGCACGAGGGCCTTTTCTATAGGCTACTTGAAAGTGGCATTGGAGGAAAAACCTATGATTTGATTAAGAACATGTATACAAAAAGTGAATGTGCCATAAAGATTGGAAACAAACAAACAGCGTTCTTCTCCCAGGGCTGGGGAGTGATGCAGGGATGCAATCTCAGTCCAATTCTATCAATGAATTAGAGAACCAACTAGAGAGTTCCACAGCACCTGGCCTCCTCCTGAACGATCAGAGGTCTGCTGTATGCAGATGACTTAGTGTTGCTCTCACCTACTAAAGAAGGTTTGCAGCAGACCACTAAATTACAACACACAAAAAACTACACTTACCTTGGCCTCAACATTACATACACAGGGAACTTCAACATGGCTGTGAAAGATCTGAGGGACAAAGCAAGGAGAGCTTTCTATGCAATAAAAAGAAACATTAAAATCTATACTATACTATATCTATATTCCAATTGAAATCTGGCTGAAAATTTCAATTTTTTTTTGCCTGTTAATATACACTCACATATATACGGTTATTTATTAATTTTATTTAAATCTTTTAATATATTATAATAATACACGTTACTGTGTCATTTACTTCGTTTATTTTAATTTTTAAATATTTATTTATTTTTACACACACACACACACACACACACACACACTGTTTATTTATTTTAATTGAATATATTATTTTAATTTTCTAACACACACACACACACTTATTGTTTTACTTTTACCTTTTTACCTTTATTTATTTTTGCGGAATTTTTATATTTTATATATATTTATTATTATTATTATTTTATTTTGTATTAACAAACACACAAACACAACTTTTGCTGTTTTATTTTCCTCATCTAATGAAATGTATGAAATTAATTATGTACTTTATATATAGCTTTGGCAATATTGTTGCTATACATTCATGCCAATAAAGCTAATTTGAATTTGACTGGATTTATGTTTATCATCACAAAGTTCTGGTGGCTCTGAGTAACTAGAGATACTTCCACCTGAATCAAGTTCTTTATTTTCCAGATTATTCCCATACAAGCGCATCTTCTGCTTTCCTATGGCATGAGTACTTAGGCTATAATAAAACACAGAATCAACTCTGGAAAGGTAGCCTCATATGACGATATGAGGTGACATAAGGGCAGCCCTGCTAGTAGTTTATATTATTTGCCTTAGGCTGGCCTTTTATTGTGGCCAGCCTAAGGCACACCTGTCAAAAACCCATGCTGTCTGATCAGCATTTTCAGAGTTTAGATACTATATTTGTCTTTGCCACGTTTAGTCAAGGTCTTAGAACTGAGAGCGAAGCAAGGAGGATCTTGTTAGTGATGACTTTTCTCTTCTCATGGTGAGTCAGTTGGATCACCTGAGTTAGTAATGTTTCCAGTTAAAATAATTAGGGGGTGAAATGGAAAGCTTCATCTTGACCCAGCTGTCCAGCCTGGGAAACATTATATACCTACAAAGCTGCCACTCTTACTGGCTGTTTTACTTATTTTACGGTAACTCTAACCTGTTTTTGGTCAGACTTTTGGCCTCTACTCAGCTATTCATTTGGAGAGAAAAGCTTTTCATCTCCATAACTTCTCTCCATTTCTTTGGTCTATGATGTAATGCTGGCCGTGAGCATCTCTTCTGCCCTGATAATGTACAAACTGAAGTTTAATCCTTTAATGTCAGAGCGTAGAGACAGGATCTCTAATTCTTTCTCTCTACACTCTAAACCAATTTATTTGAGGTCAAACATGACAGGTGTGCACATCTGAAGTTAATCTATAAACTCTCATGTTTTCAACTCAGTTAAATAGCTGAGATTCCCTAGTAGTCATTTCAGAACTGAAGAAGTCTCTTAGATGAGGGACGAAATGTCTTCTAGTATCTTCCAAGTATCTACCAAGTCCAGTTGCCCTTGATTTGAACCTTTGTAGGATAATTATGACCTGGATGACCGAGAACCTTCACAGATATCTCATGTTTACAGTTTGGGTGGATGAGACCAAAAATAAAATCAAAATTGTTAAATGTGAAGTTATTCTTTAAGTCTAGTGAAATGATGCCCCCAAATGCCCTGCATTGGTGTTCAACTTGCATAGCATCATTTCCTATTCTGAGTGCGAGCTGAGCTCTGAAGTCTGCCTGTGGGAGGGATGGGATAGCAAGCTGCGGAACTTGTGCCCCAATAAAGCTGACAAATGTTATAATTACCATCATTACTTGCCATTAACACACTGAGTCATCGCTGTTACAGGATGTTGATGTGGCTCTGCATGACTGTCCTGCAATTAATGACATACAGCAGCTGAAACAAAGTGCCCTTCACTTGCTTTGACTTTTTAGTTCTATGTTCACACACTCTACAGTATGCCCGAGTACAAAGACACACACAGACTGCACACACTCATCCATAACAGAACATTTATACACAGCACAACCATTTCTCAGCCCACCTCTAGTTTCACTGTCTACTGTTAAGTCTTGATCAAATCATCAGGTTGCCAGGATACCGTGCCCCATACAAACAGTGGAGCCAGATTAACAACTGTCGCACAAACACACACACACAAATACACACACACACACAGTCCCTGCCCTGTTACTGACATGATTCTGTGGTATCTCTTGGCTTCCAGGTCAGTAAATGTCCCAGAGCCCTGATACAAGTACAATCCCCCTGCATGGACTAGCCTAATGTATGCCACCATGAAATAGCAATTCATTATTAGGAGGAGAGACCAGAGACTGTCATGACCACCACTCCAGGTCTAGACACCAACAGCCAGGTACTCATCATACTCATCAAGGCTGCTCTCCCACCCACTCAAGACCCTCACCAATATGCATGCAGATCCAACAGGTCAACGGACGATGCTATTTCAATGCACTGCTCACCTGGAACAGCAAGCAACATATGCATGACTGCTGTCTGTGGATTACAGCTCCGCCTTTAGACGTAGGCCTCCAGCATAACACTACTCCATTCTGTCACTCAGCACAGGAGCTCCACAGGGCTGTTTTGAGCCCTTTCCTCTACTCTCTGTACACATATGGCTGCATAGTAGCCCACAATATCAACGCCATTATCAAATCTGCAGATGACACGACAGTGGTGGGGCTGATCACTGATGGAGACGAGTCTGCCAACAGGAAGGAAGTACAGAGACTGACAGATGGGTGCATAGAAAATAACTTGGCACATCACACCAAAACACATCATTGATTTCAGTAAGAAACTGGTTGACAACTGTGCATAAACAGTGCCAGAGTGGAGAGAGTATCCAGCTTTAGATTCCTGGGTACCCACATCTCAAAGCTCTTTCTCATTCTTAACACGGACCACAAGGCTGATGAACAGTTCTTAGCCAAAAGCCATTACCATGCTGAACTCTGCACTGACATCACACCTTATAGACACAACTGTGCAATTTCATATTACCACTATCTACTTATTATTTTAACCTGTGCAATACCACCATGCATGTGTTGACAAATGTGTATGTGTGAGTTGCATATGTGTAAATGTTAGGTGTGTGGGTTTTTTATGTATATATCTGAGCACCGTTTCAGGTAGTGCACCTGAATTTCTTTGAATGTATTATGCAATGACAATAAAGGAATTTCAGTTTCAAATGATTTCTATAGCAAAGCTGTGGTTTCTAAAATGATAACTTACATCATAATGTCTAAACAAGCTGTGGTGATAGTCAATGACTACTGCTGGCTAATGTCGTCAGCTGTAGCCTGTAAATGTTAATTCTGTCAGTTGGAGGAAATACACAATAAAACTCCTAGCTGTTGTCTGGTTGCTGCAATGTTTGTGTGTGTGTGTGTGTGTGTGAGAGAGATTCCTGCAAAGTAAGATGGTTTAAATTTTTGAAAAGAGAGACTGGACTATGTCTATTTGTTGATCATAAATAGCAAGTGTGTTAAAAGACTTTCTCTAGATAAACAATGTAGCTGATCACATCATGTAATTTTCAGACAAATAGTTAGCAGCTAATTCGGTGGCTGTTGAGTTGAATGACAAAGATCATGAACTGCAGCTAAACCATCATGCTTGAAAGCTAAACTGTCAAGCAAGTCTTAATAATGTTTTCAGCTCATCACCTTAAAGGTTTTGAATCTAAAGCTCAGAGATTGAGGGCTGTGTAGTAGCTCTTCCTGTCTGAGAAGCTAATGTTAACGTTAGCTTAAGCAGCTAAAGTGCAGATGTGACCGACCTGTTATTATTACCAGAAGTGGACAATTATGCAGCTTTTATCAATATATATATATATAAAATCAGTTTAAATAATGGCAAATAATTACATTTGTTAGAAGATTTTGCTATATATTCACCCCAAATTGTTCAGCTCAAGTAATTAATTAGTTTAAGTGGTTAATGTGCAAGAGAAAGATGGATAGAGAATAGGACAGTTATGAAAACAGGCCAGGAAATAAAAGCACTGTGGCGACAGACAGAAAGACATACTGTATATGGTAGAGCACTTACGGATATAAAAATATAAAAAGTTCATTACCTGTCTGGGATGTTCCCTCCACTGTGACCATCGCTTTCTGTACTTCCTTTTCACTTTTCATCTTATTAATATCTCTCTCCGTCCTTCCATCCACTGTATCCACAGAGTCTTTATCCAGCCCTTCAAACACAACATCCTCATTATCCATAGCGACAGACTCCTGACATTTGCCACTGCCAGTATCAAAAGGGATGGCAGGGACAGGCTTAATTTCCGCTAATGACCAGGATGACTGGTATTCGCCTGTATCCACATTCACAGCCGGTTCCTCCAGGGGAGCCGAGTCACAGGGGGTAACAGGAAGTGAACCACAAGAAAGTGGCAAAGTGGGAATCTCCCCTTCACATGGTGATGTAATTTGACCATCCAGCTGGTGAACGCTGTCATGCTCATGCACCTGCATTCCTTCCTCTCCTTTAGCATCTCTATCATGTTTTGTACTGTGTGGACAATGTGAATCTAAGTGCTGTCTATCGCTCTCATTCTGACAGACTGATCTTGGGGGGTCTCTACGTTCTCCCAGTCTGGGATTCTCGTCAGAATCAGGACAGAATGTGTCAGAAGCCTCGGGAAGTTGTCCTGTGTCTATAATGGGACAGGGAACTTGGATTTCTTCTTGCAGCTGGATTTCTGTCTGCATGTGACCTTGGCCATCTACCTCAGCTGTAATCATTTTATTTACTTCGGGGAAAGGTTTCATATTAACTTGCAGTAGGCTGTCTTCTTCTTTAGGTAGTGAATATGTGAAGAGTTTGCTTTGAATATCCTCTTTGCAGAGTTGTGGTAAACTAGGAGTGTGTGCTGACAGGTCAAGGTTAGCCTGCTGGTTGCTACTTAGAGGTGCTGCTAGTAGCTTTTCTGTCTCAGTGTTACACTGTGACACTACAGAATCAGACTGCTTCAATATTTCAACGTTAACCTGTTCTTTAGATGTGAACTGATCAGTAGGTTCAATATGTGACCATTCTCTATGTTGGCTTTCGGTGTCAGTTGGAGTCATTGCTAACAGTTGACAGTTCTCTTTGTCTTTGTTTATCAGCTGTGCACACAGTTGTGTGGCTTGAGCAGTGTTAAGTAAATCGTCTGCCAGCTGGTGTGATGTATCTATTGGTTCATTGGTGTCTTGTGCTAATGGTGGATTATTTGCTGGTTCTTTGCTAGCAGACTCTTGCCTCCTTAACTGATTGTCTGCTAACTGTTGGCTCAATTCTATGCTAACTATGGCTGATGCCATTGCTACAGTAACAATTGCTACCGCTGTGGCAACTAGATCTTCATTGTAGTTCTGCTCTTTTTCTCTCTGTAAGGAATGACAGTCCTCATCCTCCACCTTTTCCCCTCTGTCTATGGAAGTTAACTCCTTGCCATGTACCGCCCCACTGTCATTTCTGTCTTCACTCCTCCTCTCCCAATGTCTTTCTACACTGACTTCCTCTTCACCCACCCACAGCTCATTTCTCTTTTGCTCCTGATCTTTCAGCATCTCAGAGGCCAAACAATGCTCTAAATATTCCCTAGGAGTTGTCTCGGCCCTTCCTTCCTGTATTTCAAGTGGTGAAACATCCGCTGTACCTTCAATAGGCAGATCCCCAGCTTCCATAAATCTTACGGGTCTACCAATGGGATCCACAGGTTGTACTGGTTTCTTCGAGTCCAAAGGTTGAACATGTTGTGTATTATGTTCAGGCAGTACCCCAAGAAATGGCTCTTCTGCGAATTCTGTAGGATCTGAATGTTTTACAGGAAGTTCCTCTGGAGAGTTAGATTCCAGAAAACCTGTCCGGTCCACGGATGCTGCAGCTTTACCAGCAACTGGCAAATCCTCATTTTCTGACAATGCCTTTGACTCCGCATTATCCGCTGTTTGTTGGCCTGGACTGGTAAGCCCCTTTAATTCCAGCTCTGTAGGGTCAAGCACGTCCTTTCCTATTGGTTGAACGGTTGCAGTTTCCTCTACCTTTGCCTTTATGATGTCCACTTCACTAAGTTCTGAAGCAGTGACAGTAGAATGGAGGTAAAAGTCATCAGGTTCATGAAACGTCCTGGTCTCGTCCTCTGATAATTTCTTTGTTTTAAATATCTGTGAAGCTGTACCTTCAGTCAGATCTGTCAGACTGAACTCTGAAGTCGTGTAACAAGGATCAGAGTTTGTAATGTCACAGTCAGATCCATGAGCTTCCCTGGTCTGGCCCTCTGTCTGGCTGGGTAGATGCATGGCGTCCTTGTCAGCTTCTACTCTCCAGCTTGGCTCAGAACCACAGGGAAACTGGACGTCTGCCCTTCCTGTTTTATCCTTGGCTTCTGGCTTTGACGGAATGTCCAGGTTTGTCACTTGTTCCCTCTGTGTCTGTACGTCTATCTGACTCTGAGACTCTATACTGGAGCTGGAGCTAAGTTTGGCCTCTGGGTCTCCTCTCTTCCCTTTCTTCTTCTTCCTCTTTTTTCTGCTCTTTGTTCCTTTCTCTTCGCTTCCTTTCTTCTCTTCTCCTCCCTCTTCGATGTCTGCTGTTTCAGAACTCTTTCTGCTGTAAGTGGTCTCTCTGTTACCAACCTCCTCTCTGTCTCCTTCCACTCCTCCCTCCTTCTGATCCAGCCCTACTTCCTCCCCTTGCTGTGATCCATGTACTTCCCGTTTTTGTGCACTCGGCCCATGTGACAGTGCTGGCTGTGGTCCAGCAACAAGAGGCTGACTAAGAGCTGCAGACAGTTGATGAGAACTAAGACCCTGTTCTAACAGCTGTGGAGAACTAAGACCAGAAGCGTGGAGTGAGCTCAAATCACATTCTTTCTGCTCTCTCAGTCCCTGCTCCAGCTGTTCATGTTTTCTCTGATCCACTGTGTCACTGTCATACCAAACTGACTGGGAGTTCACATCCTTTCTGTTCCAGTCTTCATGGACACCCTGCTCTAGGTTTTCACCTTCATACCAGACTGTTTTTGCTCCCGTTTGTGGTTCATGTGGGGTTGATCCCATTCTGCCTCCAATCCAGCCTCCATCCCTCCATAGTCCTCTACGGGGATTTCTTTCCATGTCTGGGGACTTGTGGCTGATCCTCCTGCCAGACTGAGGACTCTTGTTCATTGTGTCAGGTTGGCTTGGCTCCTCTGGGTCTGACTGGCTTTCCTGGGGATCCTGGGATTGTTCCTGACCCATGGTTACTGAAAAGAGACATTATAAGATTAAGGACTGCATAACAAGCTGGTTTTCTTATTTAAAGGATAACTCTCTAGTGATTTTTCACTGAAGATAAAAACTTTGGAAGATGACACAATAAAATAGCATTTCTGAGTAACTGCAGATTTTAGTGTTAAAGCATGTTAAAACAGAGACTTAAGCAAAAGAAATAGCCTCTGCTGAGCTTGCGACTTGCGAGTCTTGTGTGCAAGCCTTTTGTTTCCCCTTGGGTAGAATAGTTAATCAACAGTGACACAACCAAAAAGCACTAACTCAGTATGACTCTGTCTTCCTGTACTTTGTTTTTTCTCTGTCCAGTGACTCTCTTCCCCAAATCACAAGCTGAGTTGTATGATTTAGGTAAAAGAGCCTCCAATCATATTCAACAGTAGCTTCGTGTGGTAGAATCTCTGGTCTGCCATTTCAAATGAGCAAAAGTAATTCTAATCATTTGCACTGCGTAAATGTAACACTGCCCCACACTCTGAGGACTGTGATAAACGTACCTTTCTTTTCGGCAGCTGATCCCAAGTTAAATTTAGCTGCTTTTGCCGGGTCTCCCTGTTCCGTCTCTGTCTCTACAACTCGCTCACATATCAGCAGGTCAACTTCCCACTTCTCTCCTTCCTGTTTTTCTATGATGGTTGTGGTAGGCAAGGCAACTGTCTTCCTGCCAGCACACTTCCTATCACCACCTGGTGCAGTCACTGGCTTTATGGGTAACGGAGTCTCTTCTGTTCCGGGACTACACTGAGTTTTTGTGGCTTCTCTGTCACCAATCACAGAAGCCCCCGCTGGTTGTCTGACTGAAATAGTTTCATGTATCTCTGTTCTACTTCTTGGTGTCTTTGTGGGCCTCCGTGCAATCCCCCTTCCGCCCTCTTGGGTGCATCTTTTATTTTCTAGAGATTCTGTTGCATTTCTTGTGGTTCTCTTTTTGTTTTTCCTGTTACGACGAGCAGGAGAGTTGGCAGCTGGTGCACCCTTCTGTTCCCCCCCAGCTTCCTGGCTCTGACAAAGACTTCCACTGGCACAGGATGTTTGAGTGACGACAGTAGAGTCAGCCCCTCGTGTTTTGTCCTCCAATAATGGAGGACCTCTGTGATCCTTTGTTGTTGTGATACAGTTCTCTATGGTTACCACAGCCAGGCCTACATCCTGCTTGCTCTCTTGTTGGCCGTTAGAGCAGGGCTGCAGCCCACAGGCAGGGCTGGCTTGCTCATGATCGATGGAGGAGGATGTGGAGGTATGTGGAGGTGTGATGTTACCAGCAAGATCAGATTTTCTCTGCAAGAAAGAAGACAAACCCAGAGGAAGTGTTGACGGAAAAACATAACTGCAGTTTAAAAAATACATGTTGGTTTGTTCTGCTGGGAAAGCTGTCAGTCAAACTCTGGTGCAGCCTAAGCAACCATACTGAGACTATGAACTGAAAAGCTAAACTATGGGAACTGTCAACTGCAAGATAATTTTTTAGCTATGGTAATACATTTCACACATCTTCCTTCCAAATGAACACACCTTTTTTTTTTTTTACCAAAGTACACGTACTGTATAATATTGGTTGTACTGTGTAATATTGGTTGTCGGACTGTTATATTGTGTATGTTAAATTATTTATATAGACTTAATTTGGGAGGAAAAATTCCCAGACAGATGCTGGTGAGTTAATTGTTTTAACTGATTGACTGACTGAAATGAAGCAATCAAAAACTTCTGTAGAAAGGAGAATGTGTAATGTGTATGTGAAAAGGTAACAGCTGTCTTTAGAACGAGCGTGGAACAGGAGCAGCAGGTCGGTGGCCTCAGACACTCACTGTAAGCGCTCTGAAGAGACTTGATGAGGGTTCTTAACACAAAGTACAGGGTTTATTGCTCTCAGCTAAACAAAACCACATTCAGTCACTGTCAGCTCACCTTTCTGTCTCTATGAAGATGAATAAGTCTCCTCAGCTCCTTCACCTCCTCCTGTAAGCAGAAATCTTCCCCGCTTTTTGTCTCTGCTCCCCCCTCCCTCTGATGAAGGTCAGGGAATGTTAGGGTGTAGGTACCAAGTTTTGCATGGTGCTGAAACACTCGGCCTTCTGTATAAAAGTGTGGCTGCTCTTTTGTTTCCACTTGGACATCTGAGGACGTCTCATACCTGCAAAATGACACAAAATAATACATCTACAGTGCCAAGAAGTAGTGAAGCCTTTGGATTTCCCTGCTTTGTCCCTGACACTTGCTGCTACCCCCCGTGTTCCTGCTCAACACCCTTTGCTTTTTTAATTGTTATTACTAGTCCTATTGTTAATACAGTATTATTATCACTAACATTACTGTAATTCATTTTCAGTCTGTACCATTACTACCTTTATGGTCTATATTTCTGTGTGGATATTGTGTTGGCTGTTCTCTTGGGGCAGCAGAAAAGGACTGCGCCACTGACCAACAGAACCTGGGCTAAAGTCAGTGGCGCAGTATTTCACTCTCTTTTAATGGTGCATTATTCAGACAGCAAGATGATGGGATGGTGGGATCTAGCGATTCACAAATTGCAGTCATTTCTACTGTTCCTAAAAATGAACATTCTAATTAAGAGCAGGTGGGTGAAATAGGTTGAAGCCGCTGAAGCGTCTCCCCATTAACATGCTGTGGGCATTTGCACACGAGGCACTGCAGCGTACTCCATCAGCATCACTGATTATTAAAATCTCCCGACACACCGACAGGATCGGTCAGGATCTGAAGTTAAATGATTTTCTGTGTTCTTCTCCACATCCAAAAGGCCTCACACAGTCCAGGTTAATCCAGTCAAACTGTCTGGAGTAAAACAGCCATCCTCCTGATCAGTCCTGAGCTCCATCAGAGTGTCTAAATTCTTTCAGAAGCTAAAAGTTGAATTCTGTTTCCTCTGGAAAGTTTCCTCTGTCCTCTGTCATAAATACAGTTTTTTGGTTTTGCCCACAATATTTGCTGTGACTTTATTGTGCACATAACTAAATCATTAATCATGAATGTCTCGGGTTACATCTCCAAACTTCTATTAGGCATAAGTTCCAGAGTAGCTGACTGACAGCTGCCCTGGAACTTTGTTTTCTCAGTGAGTAGCAGTTGTTCAGGCTCGAGCGCATCATCAAGATCCCTACTCCAGGCTTCAGTTTAAGGATGAAGTTATGGTAGGCTGTTAGTTTTGCTTTATTCCTGCACACAAATTGTTTCTGAAACAAAATATAGTCTCCTGTAATTCACATAACATTGGTCATTTCTATAGGGGTTCACAAACTATTTCCTATTTGGATTGTTAATACTGAGATTTGTTAATAAATATGTCACTTCAGAAAAGAAATCATTAACAATGTACACAACAATAGAGTGTTACTAGTTTACATACAGTGTATTTGTCTATTGTAGTGACTATCAGACCATATTTTATGGATGAATTATGTATAAATGTAAATCTTTTTCTTGGCACTGTATCTGAGAAACAATTGAAAACATACAAAACAAACTCCACACACAAAAATGTCCATATAATTTACAATAATTGTAATAAAAAAATACAAAATGAAACAACAAATCCTGACAAACACATAACACCTAGCCCGTGCTGTAGATGACACATCACATCACTCATCCAGACTTGGTAACCACGCCATCCACCTCCACCCTAAGCGAGGATCAACTGAGCTGCCAATCACTGCTGTCACACTCATTGTTCTCAGAACGCCTCTCACATTTCAGCTGCATGAGCCTGAGTAAAGGAAGAGCTGCTCACCATCAAAGTGCACAAAGACTGTTACTGATTTGCACGTTAAAGTCCGTGCCAATATGATTGGTCAGTATGAGGTAATTACAGATAAACTGGTATCAGCATTTATAACAGCCGATTAATGATGATTAAAAAAGAAATGGAGAGAGAGTCTTCACTCTTGTCGTAAGCGTTGCATAGTTTGCCCATCAGAGGGCACTCTGCAACTCCCCTGTTGGCAACAGCGCCACAAATTCCCAGGCATCCGAGAACCCACAACAGATCTGTTCAGTGAGTTGGTCATTTGTCATGTGTAATACATAACTTAATAATAACAGTAAAAATAGCCCTCATCACTTCTCTTAGTCCAAATACACCTGACAACATTCATGGCTACAATTGCTAACCCTCCTGATTTTACTGAGAGACTCCCGTCTTTCATTGCCGTCTCCTGGCTACCTCTCGGGTCACAGCAGTATGTTTAATGTTAGAGTAGTTGAGTGGTGGAGGCTATGCAGTTGAAAAACTTGATTGTAGATTAATTTCTGAAACAGTGTGGCCGTTCTAGCGAATGGTTCAATCATTTCTCCCTAGCCTTTCACTTATTCTGGTATTTATATCTGCGAGCCACGTGTCTGTAGTTACAGTCAGTGTGTCAGAAATGATTAAACCAGAGGGGACATGTAAATAAACGGAAGCTGAACAACTATATAATACATATATATATAATTTGGGGCGGCTGGAGGAAGTAGAGCGGGTTGGCCGTTAATCGGAAGGTTGGCGGTTCAATCCCTGGCTCCCCCTGGTTGCGTGTCGAAGTGTCCTTGGGCAAGATACTGAACCCCGATTTGCCCCTGGCGGCTGTTCCGCCAGTGTATGAGTGAGTGTGACTGTTAATTTCCGTTTGAGCACTTAGGCTCAGTGTATGAATGTGTGTGACTGGTGAATGCAGATGTAGTGTAAAATTGCTTTGAGTGGTCGAAAAAGACTAGAAAGGCGCTATACAAGTACGGAGCATTTGCATAATACGGCATCCTAGTCAAACAAAGTTATCTAGCTCGTCTTCAAAATGTGCAATGTTGGTGTGAAATCTCAAAGTTAAAAGTCCTCACTGTAGCATTAGATGCATACAACAGCAACGTTTTCACTGGGTCACTGTATCATAGATGATGGCTGAAAAAGTTTTCTTGTAGCCTTGATAGAATTAAAAGAGTGCTGGAAAAGGATGTGATTGTGCTACATTGAAAATAGTCATTGTGGCAGATAATGTGTAAAGTAATAACAACTGCATGACAAAAAAAGGGGGGTGGGGAAGAATAATGGCCCATACATCGACACATCGGATTTTAAAATCTTTGAATCCTTGTTATCGGTGGGGCTCTAATGCACGTACCTCTAACCTTAACAGCACAAAAGACACTGAGTGCATGTTAATGCAGTGACTGCTGACACAACGCAAAGAACTGTCAAAAGACACAAAGAAACATCTCACACAGATTCCCAGAAATCGATGTATGCTGTAAACCTGTTTGTCTTTGCAACTTAGCCCGTAATTGATTAAAACATAGAAAAAATTATTTGTCACCAGTGGATTGTTGCCTCAGATTTATTTAACACTTCAGTGTTAATAAACAATATTAATAAAAACACAGAACAGGTTTTCAGTTTACATACAAAACTTTATTGTTAGATTCCATTGGCTTCTCTCAGAGTGTTCATGAACCGACTCACTGTTTTAACCACACCCTTGACCCTGTTTTGGTATATGGTATTGAAATTGAACATTTAATAGTGTTCCCACAGAATCCCTCTTTATCTGACCACTGGGGCGTGTGTGGCTCAGGAGGTAGAGCGGGTTGACTGTTAATCAGAAGGTCGGCGGTTCAATCCCGGCTCCCCCTGGCTGCATGTCGAAGTGTCCTTGGGTAAGATACTGAACCCCGAATTGCTTGTTCTGCCAGTGTATGAATGTTAGTTTCCTTTTGAGCACTTAGGCTCAGTGAGTGAATGGTGAATGCAGATGTAGTGTAAAAGCACTGAGTGGTCGACAAGATTAGAAAGGCGCTATACAGAGCATGTTCGATAACTTTTGAGTTTGTATTGCTGAACTACACGCCATTGGGCAAAAATTTCTATACAAGATGTCTGTCTGATAGTGCTGTAGCTAAATTTAAGGATGCGATTCCATCAGCTCTAAATTCATTATCAAGTCACAAAGTAACGGAGGACTCCTATGCTAATTTCAGTCCCTCCCAAATCGATCATCTAGTGCTGCAGGCTCGCTGCGAATGACACTCGACTCTGTTGCCCCTCTAAAAAAGAAAATAATTAAGTTAGTTAGTTCCATGGTATAATACTGAAACTCAAATATCGCGGAAACTTGAGAGGAATTGGCGTTCCACCAAAGTGGAAAATTCTTGTTTAATTTGGCAAGATAGTCTTAAAACTTATAGGAATGCCAGAGCAGCGTACTACTCGTCATTAATAGAGGAAAATAGAAACCCAGGTTTCTTTTCAGCACTGTAGCCAGGCTGACAGAGAGTCACAGCTCTATTGAGCCAAGTATTCCCATAGCTCTCAGTAGTTATGACTTCATGAGCTTCTTTAATGACAAAATTCTAGCTATTAGAGACAAAATTCACCAAGACCTGCCCTCAACTGGCACCGACTTATCTCTTAACTCAGGAACCTTAGAAACAACTGTAAAGCCAGACATATGTTTAGACTGCTTTGCTTCCCTCAATCTTTACCAACTAAATTCAATAATTTCTGCATCTAAACCATCAACCTGCCTCTTAGACCCCATCCCGACTAGGCTGCTTAAAGATGTTTTACCCTTAGTCAGCACTTCTATACTAGATATGATCAATCTATCTCTATCAACAGGCTATGTACCACAGTACTTTAAAGTAGCAGTAATTAAACCTCTTCTGAAAAAGCCCAAACTTGATCCGGATGTTTTAGCCAACTATACACCTATATCTAACCTTCCATTTCTCAAGGTCCTGGAGAAAGCAGTTGCTAAACAGCTGTGTGACTTTCTACAGAGCAATAGTTTATTTGAGGATTTTCAGTCAGGATTTAGAGTTCATCATTGCACAGAGACAGCACTGGTGAAAATTACTAACAACCTCCTTATTGCATCAGATTTGGTTTTATTAGATCTTAGTGTTGCATTTGATACCATTGAATATTAATACCAATACCAATATTATCAGGAAATGTTCCATAAACTTTCATTGTTATGCAGATGATACTCAGTTATATCTATCGATCAAACCAGATGAAACTCATCAGTTAGCTAAACTTCAAATGTACCTTCAGGATGTTAAAACCTGGATGACCTGTAATTTTCTAATGTTAAACTCAGATAAAACTGAAGTTATTGCTCTGGGGCCCGAGCCCTTGAT